AAGTGGAAAGAAAAAATTAGAAGCTATTATTATTAATATCTCTTTCCCCTCCTCCTCTCTTCCTCCTCAAGCCAGTTTGGCCGAGTGGTTAAGGTACCAGGCTAGAAGCTAGGAGAGCGTGAGTTCTAGTTCCACCTTAGCCATGAAAGGCAGCTGGGTGATCCTGGGCCAGTCACTCTCTTTCAGCCTAACTCACCTCACTGGGTTGTTCTTCTGGGGAAAATAGGAAGAGGAAGATGTGTTGAATACCGTAAATGCCGGCGTATAAGGCGACTTCCGCGAGCGCTGAAATTGGCGCCAAAGACGGGAGTCGTCTTATACGCCGAGTCGTCTTATACGCCGGAAATACTGGTAGTTTCCGGCATATAAGACGACGTTCTAGGAATGCGGCCCAGCTATAAAGACGGGGGTCGTCTTATACGTCAGGTCGCCTTGTACGCCGGCATTTACGGTATGTTTGCTGCCTTCATTTATTTGTAAAAATATTAAAGGTGCAGTATAAGTAAGTAAATATAAAAATAAATAAATAAAATCATCATGATCATTTAAATATATGTTTCATCTTTTCTCTAACAACGTAAGGATGCACATTAAGCAATTCCAATTTTATCCCCACAACAACTCTGTGAGGCAGAGTTAGTCATCTTCACTCAAACTAAACTGTAGACGACAGGGTAAATATTTAACATATCAAAAACAGTATCAAGCCAGTACAGGCTGAGCAATAAGCAGGACTGTTACAAACTACTTTGCTTATTCCTAGGTCCAGTAAAATTGGCTAAAGGTCTGGGAAATTTGCTCTTTCAAGAACAACAGTCCTGGATATTTAACTCTGAAAGACTGAACATTTGTAAAGAGTTCAGTCAGGATATCTTTTGCTTGTAGTTTTTTAAAAACAAGATTCTCAGTGAGTCACTTCTGTACATTAATCCAATGAAATAAACTAGAAAGCTGGCCAATTTTAGTTAAGGCATAGTGCTGCTGAATTGTGTCACCATCTCATTCAAGTTGAGCTGGCTTTGATGCACAACACTGAATGAAATGAAACGAATCAGGAAATATACAAGGGAGGTGGGAAGATTGGGATGTACCACCAAAAGAATATTAGGTATGTGAAAAATAGTTTCTTCCCCATCTTTGGTTAGCCAGAAGCTTCAACTGCATAATGGGAAAATTTCCACCAGCTAACACAAATATACTGACTAAGATATTTTTTTTTATCCAATACTCCCTTAGATATCATGCCAGACCAGGCTTGGAAGCAAATACCCCAGAAAACCCCCAAATAAGAAAAGAATATGGTTCTACACGTGTAAGATCACAATGACACTCTCCTGCCTCCCTGGGGCCCTCAACTACCAAAAATCATGGGGAAAACAGTCTCCCAGCGTCTGCTTCTACACTAAAATAGATTTAATACTTTAAAACCATTTTAATCACATTTATGTTGAAACTGAAAATGATTAAGCTGAATACATAAAACATGATTTCACCTCAGTAGATAACCTGGCCTATGGTATCTGATTATCCCACACTAATTTTCACAGCTTTGTTTTACTACAACCCTCCAATGAAATAAATAAGGAAAGTGTGCTGAAAAAAGGCTTATGACTTTAAAAACGCACGTTTTATTTTCAAAATAAAAATACTCATTTTTACAAAGAAAATACAAATAAACCTATGGCTGTACAAAATTAAATGCTAAATGTAGGATCTAGAATAACATAAAGACACTGATTCTGGCAACTAATAGTTCAATCACCAGTGATTTGTGATTTTTTTCCCAAATGGTTGAGCAGTATAGGGTTCCATACTAAAATCTTTAGTTTTGTGACCACTTTTTATTTTATTAAATCAATCTTTTCCCTTCTTATTTGCTAACCCAAATGTTGTCTGTATTTAACAATGTTCTACTTTCCAGGGACTTTAGAACAGGGTTTAGCAGTTTTGATCAGTAGGAAATATTCTCTTTCTCCTGTTAAAGAGCTTTATGAATTGGGGAGAATGGAAGAATGTTACAGAAACTTTGACCTATCTCTTTTCACTTTTAGGTGATAATGTAATCTTCTGCACTTCCATGTTGAACAGCATTGGAGACAGAAATAGTTGGAAATGGAAGGTACCCAAATATTTTAAGATTTCAAAATAATCACGTTTTAAAAATGAATCATGATAAACTACATAAAATCATATAAAATAGATAACAATTCTTCAAGTCTTCATCAGGCCACAAGTGAAGAATTTTAGGATTGAGTGTTTTACGTGCATGCACAGAATCCTGGCTTATTAAGAGCAAGCGAGGGAGTTGGCTAATGCGGTTCAATTACTCCTGCTTCCAGGAGCAAATAAAAAAACAGGTAAAGTCCACTCTATTAAGCCAGAGTAAGAACAAACTCTAGCTTTAGATTTATGAATAGTGCAAAAGATAAATGGTGCAATTCAGACACAATATTAAAAAAAAGTTTATCTAGATCAAAGTTTTTATTATTTATTTTCTCTGGGGACTTTTTTCAAAATGCTGGTCTCTTACAGCTTCAGGAAGGGTTTGGCCACTCACACATCTCCAGAAAAAGTCAAGTCAATTTTTTTAGCCTTTCCAATTTGGGGCCTGATTTTACTTTACACTGATCTTATACTTAAATCTTTAAAAATATAACAAATGCCTCAAATTTCCATTTCTACCATCAATCTGCAGCTACTCAATCCTATGGGTTTTGAGAACTAAAAAACAAGATTGGATGACCTTGCCACAGTTACCCACCCCTGGCAAAATAAAGTAAGTAGGAGCAACTGAGCAGTACAGTGCTACCTTTATCCATTTCTGAGGTGACATGCCAATCAGACCAATATGATTCTCTGCTTATTAAAAGAAGGATATCCCAGAAAAAAATATCTTCCCTCAATATTTTTCTCCCTCAATGATTGTGTGTGTGTTATGTATGTATTCTCCGTCGTCAGTATGAAATGGTACTGTTCAAGAGAAATTTTTTATCACCTCATCTTGTATATGGATATAATAGATCTTAATAACCTAGATTTTGTTAGAAAGATATTTAGAAATATAACCAGTGCAAAACAGTTCATGTTTCTGACCAAAGCTTCAGGTGATCTCCTACTGAAATTATTTTGCATATCTAATTTATCATACTTTATATAGGACACAAAATATTGTGGTAGTTGTGATTCTGGGCAAAGAGTGATGAAGTAATATAGGCTAGATGAGTAAATGGGTACTTTGGCAAGAAGCCAAGCAAAGGAAGCCTTTCACAAATCTTCCCCATTTCAAAATGTATTTCACTATTTTTCCTTTTCTTTTCTTTAATTTTTATTTTAGACCAACAAAACAAAACACAGCAAAACGTTACACACATATACACATAATATATCCTTTTTTGTTAACAGCAATTTGTAACAGTACTCTTCTATTATTTACATTTCCCCCCTCATTCTGCTTTGAAATATTTGTCCTTATTGCCCCATTGTTTCTTACTTATGTTTTCCTTCTTTCATATTCTACTACTTACTAGGAATAATTCATATTATTATTATACATTATTATACACATATCACCTCTATCAACACCTGATTTTAATTTTCCAACATTATTCATTGTAGTAACTCTCGTATTTTTTATAAGACTCGACCGGGATTCCATCTGGGCCTGGTGATCATACAAATATTTTCATATACTGTTTTTGCTCTAATACTATTCCCAACATTAAAATTCACCCCTTTCATCCAAATATATTGATTTAATTTTATTTTTTCTTTGACATATATAATAATTCCTCCTTTTTTGTTTTATACTAATATTGTGTATAATGTTTCTAAATTTTACTTTCTCTAGTTTTCTATAATCCTATTTTATATAAATCTCCTAAAGATACATCACATCTACATCCAATTTCCTTAAATTGTTAAACGTTTAAACTCTTTTTCTTGATATATTTAATCCATTAATGTTTACAGAAAAGAGCTTAATTACGTCTCCCATTTTTTACTTGATCTGTTTTTTTTATGCTTCTTGTCTCTATAAGTCTTCCTTTTGCTTCTCTTTCTAACCTTTCTCTTTCTTGTAACTTCTGTATTTCTCGCTCTCGATCAACTTCCTCTGATAAATCTTCATCATAACTTTTACTCTCCGACTCTTTCCTACTTTCTTGTTCTTCTCCTTGTGAAAAGTATCTCTCATAAAAGTCCTGTGCTTTCTCAAGTGTATCTATCTTGTATTTTTTTCCTGCCAAGTTAAAAGTATGCCTTCAGGTATTAACCAACGAAACATAATTTTATATTTAATTAACTGAATCATTAAAAATTGGTATTCTCATCTCTGATTTCGTATACTACGTGGTATTTGTTTTAATACAATTATTTCTTTACCCTTATATATTATTGATTCGTCTCTTATTTTTTTATATATTTCATCCCTTATTGATCTTCTAGTAAACCTTATATGGACCTCTCTCGCCAATATATGCCTTCGTGCATAATTTGTATATACTCTATATATTTCATCTATGTCTCTTCTTACTTTCAGTAAAATGTATTTCACTATTATAAGGCCTAGAGACATAACAACATAATGATCCTGGAATCAGCCTTCATACCAGAATCAATATGGTCTTGGGCATACACAATTTGTAGAATTTTGGGAGCCTCCCACAGAAACATATAAAACTGAAAACAAAAAGAGTGAAGAATGAGTAGGAGGACCCTTCTGCCACTTGCTATCACCCTATAGTGCAAGAGTCTTCAAACTTAGCCCTTTTATGACTTGTGGACTTCAACTCCCAGAATTCCTCAGTCAGGCACGCTGGCTGAGGAATTCTGGGAGTTGAAGTCCACAAGTCATAAAAGGGCCAAGTTTGAAGACCCCCGCTGTAGTGTATTAGACTCCACAAAAATATTAAAGGACAGAATTGCATGAAATGCTAGATGGCCTGATGCAGAAAGGAGGATTACAGCAAGTTATGTTATCACTTTCCTTTACTTTTACTTGCCATTAATTAGTTCCAGGGCCTCCTCCTTGCTTCGCGTGATTTTATCTTCCCTCCATGATGAGGGTCTCCTAGATTGATTGTGTTTCACCAAGAGGTGTGAGCATCGCACTTTTGTTGGCTCCCCTTGACCATTCTTGCTATTGCCAGTGGGGCGCTCCCATTGGCTGGCATTTGTGATGTGGTTGAAATAATAAACACGCCCTGCAAAATAAAATAGAATGATGTTAGTTCTAAGGCAAATCAGATTATTAAGAGCTTCGTTCTTTCTTAAAATAAATTTCACATGGTCCTCCCTTCCCCTCATGATACTTTAGTTTCAACTTCTCTTTCCAGCATTTAATCCACTCTCACTCTTTTCCATGTTAGCAGGTTGATGTATTACTTCTCCAATGTATGCCACCAAATAATTCAAGAAAAATACCCCCCAACCAGTACCAGGTACAACCTCACTATTATGTTATTTTGTGATTTCACTGAATGCGCAAACTGTATGAAAGAATAACATATTCCAGGTAAGTTTTAATAAATTGTTTTTGTAATATCAAAATGAAACTTTTGGGGAAAAGTAAAAAAAAAAATAGACAGCAGAAATGTTCAATATATATAAAAAGCATTAGATACCACATTGATTTTCCAAGAGAATTCATGGGAAATGGATGTAAGGAACGAGCATATACAAGCTGCTTGGAACAGAATGCCAAGAGTTACATTACAGATTGTCACAAATGTACATATAGTTACATTAATGGCATGGAAATAGATGGCTCGTAAATTATGGCAAAAATGCATATAAGGGAATTATTGCTGTAAGAAATCCAGACAAGAGAGACACTTATATAGAACATAATTTAAAAGAATATAGCTAAGAAGAGGAAAAGAAAATGCAGAGTGATTTTGATAGGAAAAATGGGTTTTAGAAGGGGGCTATACAAGGAGCTTCCAGCAGAGTTCATGTAATTAAAATCGACAAAATGAATTGGAATTAAACTGGCATAAGGCAATGCTGAAATGAGTTTTTCAGAGATTTGTAGAGGAATGTCAGGAATAAGCTGAATAATACAATTGCAATAAATATTATAAATGCAAGAAAAGTCTAAGAAGAAAATTAACAGAATTAGGGATCTTATGAACAGATAGTAATACACGAAAAAGTCCAACTAAAACAAATGCTATTAATATAAATTTTCAAGAAAAATGATAATGAAAAGTCATACATGCTATGAGAATGTTAAAAACAATACAGACTGCAGATGTTTGACAGCAAAAATTTTAAAATAAGAATGTGGATTACTTATAGAGTGGCTGTGGAAAAAACAGCAAGGAAAAAAAAAAGGAAAGGTGAATGCAAAACATTAGGGAGATTAGTTCATTAAATACACTTAGGAAGATGCTCAGCCAAATTCTGATAGGAATGTTATGAAAGATGATACTGAGCAAAATTTGTGAAGTAATCAATTTTATATTAGGCAGAGGACATGGAGACCATATGTCTCCATTTCACCATGTCATGAGAAATGAATGTGAGAAATAAAGTTTCTTATATGTTTGTTGATTAAGAGAAAGTGCTTGAAAGAAAGCTTAATTGATGAATAGTTTTGTGTGAGTATGCAATTAAACATTGGTAGCTAAAGACAGTAAAAGATGGATAGAAAACATACATGATAATAAATGGAATGTTTAACAAACAGTTCAATGCTAAACATGTATACTACATGTATGATGTTCCTTTGACTGCTTTAATGTGTTTAGAATACATCTTGGAGAGACCAAAAGGTTTTGCTTTTGCTGCCCTCTTGTGGTGCCTGCAGGCTGTGGGGGCCTGAATGTAGTACAACAGGCTTCAGCAGAACCCTGATAATTTGAATGGCCTTAGACACATGGAGTCTTAGGATACAGAATTTAACATCTTTAGTTCTGGATAGGGTTGCATTTCCTGAGACAGATCCTCTGCACAATTTGGGAGTCCTCCTAAACTCACGAATCCTGCTCAAAGAGCAGATGGACATTGTGGCTAGGAGAATTGTACAACTTTGAATTGTACACCAGTTGTATATACCCTTTCCAGAATAGAATAGAAAGTAGAGAGTAGAGAGTAGAGAATAGAACAGAAGCTGGAAGGGACCTTGGAGGTCTTCTAGTCCAGCCCCCCGCTCAAGCAGGAGAACCAATACCATCTCAGACAAGTGACTGTCTAGCCTCTACTTAAAAATCTCCATTGATGGAACGCCCACAATTTCTGAGCTTAGTCACTCGTGTCCTGGTCATCTTATGCTTAAGACTACTACAGTGCAATCTACATAGGGCTATCCTTGAACAGCATTTGGAAGCGACAGATGCATGAACTGTGTGGCCCATGCTACACTATAGTTGCACAAATTGCACTGGTTTTTGGTTTGCTTCTGGGTCCAATTCAAAGTTTGGTTATCACCTTTAAAGCACTTTATGGCACAAGTCTACATTAGTTGAGTGACTGTCTCAGCTCAATGGGATTAGCCTGCCCCCCTTGCTCTGGCAGAAGGGACATGCTCTGGATCCTGTAGACCAAGGAATTGCAGCTGGGGGAAGTCCAGGAGAGGAGCCTTTTCTGCTATGATTCCCCCCCTTTGGGATATCATGCCTCTCAAGTTGAAATCTACCCCCATCCTCTTGGCCTTACAAAAGAGCCTAAAAACCTGGATTTGCCAACTGACTTGCAGCCCAGTGAGGGCATCCCATTTTGGAGGTGGCTATTAGACTAGTACAAGATCTCACCTCAACCCCATGTATGCACTGGTTCTTTTTATCCATTTTAACATTAATTTTAATGTTTTAGCTTTTAACGTCTGCTGTTTTAATATTTTATTCTTATTGTTTTTTATGACATTATAAGCTGCCCAGAGGTGCTTGGTAGAAAGATGGACAGGACACAAATTTAATAAAAATAGATTCTTGTGGTGGTATTACTATAGATATGTTGATCAGAAACATGGATATACATATATCTTGTATGCAGATGATGCTAAACCTCTGGCCAAGAACCTAAATGATTTACAATAAACATTAGGCTGTATGACATAATGAGAAGCACAAATATGAAACATAATGTAACAAAGGTCAAGTCTGTTGTGTTTGATAAGAAAATGAAGCTAATAATGGCAAGTTATACATGAAGGGAAAAAGCAGATTAAAAAATGAATTTATATAGCTTGTTTGAATGTTTATTAAAAGACGGGAAAATGAAGCCAATTTAAGTTATAAACAGGCTGGTAAAAAGTACTGAGTAGTGTGTTTCTCTGCTGTAAAAGAATGCTGAAAGAAGCATAAATGGCTGTACTTAAAATATGTTTCTGCACACTTTTTAGAAGGAAATGAGAATTCAGTATGAAAAACATAAAATGCAGATGGAATGGCCTACTGAAGAAGCACAGTAAAGCAAGAAGACATGGGAACAACAACAATTATAGACTGAGTGCAAAAAGATGAGCAAAAAGAAGAACACTGAGGTAACTTGGTCATATTAAAAGAATTAATGAGAAAAAAATATACTGGAAGAGTGAAATTAGTGAAGAAAAAGGAGAAGTGCAAAAAAAATGCGATTGGATGGAGTAGATTAAATCCAGAAAAAGATAAGAGGCGAGAACTTTGAAGAACAAATGCAATTTATAGAGCGGGGTAGGCAACCTTGGCTCTTTTATGACTTGTGGATTTCAACTCCCAGAATTCCTGAGCCAACATGGCTGGCTCAGGAATTCTGGGAGTTGAAGTCCACGAGTCATAAAAGAGTCAAGGTTGCCTACCCCGGTATAGAGCATGTAAGTGGCAAAGTAGAAGCAAGAATGCTTTGTGAGGATAGAATGGTATGAAAAGGTATAGTAAATGGTATTGGTGTAAGCTAGTTTTAGCTATGGTTTCTTTTCTTTTTTGTACTGCATTTATCTTTATTTTCTTATTTATTCAATTTCTATAGCTCAATATCTTTGGCATACTTTTACTCCTTTTTTTCATTCAGTGCAATGTTCCTTATTACAAAAAAGAATAGTATTATGGGTATGTTTCATTGGAAAATCATTACCAGACCAAGACATGATTTGTAAGCAACAACAATCAAATTTCTATTATTGAGATATGGTAAGCTCAGCTGCTGAAGAAGAAATGGCTATATGAATAAATTTTCAATACAATATGCACATCACACAGATAATATGCAAATTTACATGATACATTTTGGCACCAAAAGATTCAACAAGATTACAGGCAATGTTGAACTTTGCAATTCCACCTCCTGAGTCACTAAAGGGATAGGAAGAAAATGGTTTTTCTCTGTAAGACATACACTTTAAAGAAATTGTACCAAACTATCAGGCTGGATAAATCTTAATAACCTAATATTCTTTTTCTCATATTTCTCATACTTTAATCATTATAATTTATAGCATTTACAGAAAATGCTAAAATTGTTTTTCAATTTTATTAAACGATCTGAAAAACAACCTGGTTTAGAATGAAAATCTAAAAATAAGCATATAATATTTAAATCTCTTCACTTTAATCTATCACTGTCTGCCAAAAATAGATAAGCCTAGGTCAGTGGTTCTCAACCTTTTTAATGCCGTGACCCCCAACCAGTCGTAAGTCGAGGACTACTCAACTGGTGCAGCACCGTTTGCAGAATGGGACTTTTGGCGGGCTCAGCAGGGCAGAGACAGCCTGGACAATTCCTATTGGCTTTTGAAAGCCAATAGAATTAGACTCTATTCAAGAGAGTCTATTCTATTGGCTTTCAAAAGCCAATAGAATAAAAGGGAGTAGCACAGCTAAGGAAAAGGGGGAAAAAATGGCGGACTGCGTTGTTTGGCGACCCCCGTGAAATGGTTGTTCGACCCCAAATGGGGTCCCGATCCACAGGTTGAGAACCACTGGCCTAGGTGATTTTTTTTAAATACAGAAAGAAAAATCCACAAATAATTGACTTTCATCAATTATGATTTTATACTATTTTCCATCATGTGAAAATGTTTAACCCACTTTTCAACTATTTTGCTCATAAAATGCAGAAGACAAGCTAATAATGGAGTAATAACTCTCTCATACCAACATTTTGGCAAAGGACAAACCATATTGTATTAAAATGGAAAAGACTGCTAAGCAGTGAGAATGCAGATCTTCAGATTATTAGAATAATATGATGGCAGCTCATCTTCCAGAATATACTGTTAGGCAAT